CCTTAGCCGGTTGAGCTATAGGCACCGAGCCTATAAATAATTTTCATTAAAAACTATGTGCACTGTTGCTTCCATTTTTAGAGAAGTTTATTTCCAGGAATCTTACAGAATATTGATACCAGCAGTTCCATAAAAGTAGAAAATCAAGCCTCTGAGTAACTGAGTATCCACAGCCAAGATAAAGAGTTCACAAAAGGCAGTGTTGGAAGGTTTCAAGGACAGAGAGATGACCCTGAAGTGCCCACCCTGTGCTGGCTCAAGCCTTCCAGGGAAGGAAGGCCGGTGGTAGTGGGGAAAGAGAATGGGTTCCGAAGGTGGACGGACTTTGATTTGAATCCCGACTCCACGAGCACTTGCTAATTGTGTGATCCTGGCCTATTACCTGAACTAACACTGTGTCTCCCTCAGTGGATCGGAGCACCCCGAGAAGGAGCTATCCTGTAGAACCAAGTACACTGTCAGGTAGGTAACAAAAGTCTTCTGTACTAGTAGTTCTGACATGGTCCAGGAGTTGGAAGGGTCACCACCTGGCAGAACTGAGGGTTCAATCACAGGTTAAATTCTGCGGCAGCCAGCTAGGTTTACCCAGAGAAAACCGCCTATGGTTGTTCTGATGACTAAACAGTGAGTAAATGAGACACCAACAAGGAAGTAAGTGCCTACCGCAGGGAAAACATGGGGCAAACATTATCTTCTCTTCCTCTCCCTGAAGAGTTGGCCCAGGGAAGAGTCGGGGCCCTTAGGGCACCTCTCTTCAAACGGCTGGAGAGCTCCCTGCATCTGTGGGCTCTCAAGGGCAGGAGGGTCAACAAAGGAGCAGAGTAAATTCCTGCTGCATGTGAGGAACAATTCTCTAACAGAGCTGATCAGCGATGCAGCAGAGGGGCCTCAACAACCAAGATAACAGTTATCAAATAACAAGCCTGTTACTGGGAGTTACCTGAAGTAAAACTGACTTGGGCTCCTGGCAGTGATGCCTACACTAACACAGGGAGCTTCAGCTGGTCTCACAGGGCTGTCACCCTCTCCTGCTGATAGCTTTCAAGAGCTGGAAGCCTGTTGTTGTCTCCTCAGTCTGGCTCTGAGCCTGCTTAGCATCCCCTAGTCAGCCACTGATGAGAGACACATCGCATCAGAACCACCTGCTGCCTTCTTCCAGATACGTGGGCAAACATTTCTTACCATCCCTGTCACCACCACCCTTGGGCTGAGACATCTTCAGCTTTCTCCTGGGTTACTGCAGTAACAGAGCTTAACTGCTCTCCTAGCCTCCTTGTCTCCCTACACACTCTTCTGAACTCCGCAGCTAAACTGCAACCACACCTGCCCCCTGCCCCAGCACGCTCCACAGCCCTTATCTCCACCTGACAGGAATGCAATCCACTTGTTTACCATCTGGTTTTGCCCACTAGAGCGTAAGCTTCAGGAAGACAGGGATGTTTGTCTGTCTGGTTTTTTGCAGCACCTGGCATAGAGCTGCTACTCAAAAAATAGCTGCTGAATGAATACACAGACATATGGCACCTTCTAAAGATAGGGTCCTCTGAATGTGGTACTGCTTCTCTGTCACATCTGCATGTCACAAGCCTTGAACCTGGAGTCTCTGGTCCAGGCTCGCTACGGGAGAGCCTCTGAGACTCCAGTCCCATGCTACCCGGGCTGCAAAATCACACATCAGCATGATCCTTATTTTAAAAATCAACTCACGAACAAAGCAACTGTTGCCAATAGCAGCACTGAGAGTACCCAGGATGTGCCAGTTTCTGTGTGATGCGTAGTCTGGTGCTAATGCTACAGAGTTACGACAACTGCAAAGCTCACATACAACTGCCAATAGAAACCTGTTCAGGCCAAAGTCCTGGAAAAGCCAGGTGAAAGCTTCTTT